TTGTGCCCCGCTCCGGCCAGCGCCGCCCGATTGCGGGAGGCCGCGGGTTGTGCAAGCGGCCGCGCTGCAGGACAAAGTGTAACCCAGTGTGCCCAGAGCGACCCGAACGGGACCCGGCGCCCGAACGGACCCAAACAGAGCCCGGCACCCAAGTGGAGCCCGGCACCCAAACGGACCCAAACAGAGCCCGGCACCCAAGTGGAGCCCGGCACCCAAACGGACCCAAACAGAGCCCGGCACCCAAGTGGAGCCCTGCACCCAAACGGACCCAAACAGAGCCTGGCACCCAAGTGGAGCCCGGCACCCAAACGGACCCAAACAGAGCCCGGCACCCAAGTGGAGCCCTGCACCCAAACGGACCCAAACAGAGCCCGGCACCCAAGCGGACCCAAATAGAGCCCAGACAACCCAAACAGAGCCCAGCACCCCGGTCAAGGGCCGCACCCAAGATTAGCCGGGCCAGACATGGACGTTGGACGTGCCAGGTGTCGGCAGTGCCGGCCCCGGGCTGTGCTGGACCCGGACGGGCCGGGCAGACCCTGTGCGGCCCCAGGGGTGGCTGGCGCTGCGGGGACCGGCGGTGGGGCCAGCGGGGACCTTGCAGCGCTGCTGGATCGGAGCGTTGAAGGGGTCGAGGACATTGAGCACTGGGGGGCTCTGAGACCCCCGCCCAGCTCCCCCGGCTGCAGGCACCGCATGGACACGGGATACGGAGCCTCCCGGGCTGCTGGTCCTGCTGGACACGGGTTGCTCTTTTACCCCCTCGGTCCGGCACTGCAGGGGGGTCTTTGTGCTTCACTTCCCTCCCCGCTCTCTTCGCCACCGTCCCCGCAGGTGTCCCCAGGGCGGAGATGTCCCACAGGATCCTGCCACTTACTGCCCTCCCCTGCATTCCCAGGGTCCCCAAAGCCTCTCCGGGGCCGCAGAGCCGCCCCAGTGGTGCCCCAGGAGCTTCGGGACGCGGGAGGGTCCCCAGCAGCGCGTGCCCGGCCCTGGGCGCTGGATGCCGGACCCGCAGGGCGGCAAAGCTCGGCATCGCCATGGCAACCGGCGGCTGGATTTTCATCTCGCTCGGAGCTGGTCACCGGAACATCCCGGCGCCCCGCGCGGAGCGGGAGCGGGAGCGGAGCCGGCCGGACGCGGCGGGGGCACCAGCAGCGCTCCCAGCTCACCACAGCCCCCGGCTGCTCCCGGACCCACGGGGCCGCCCGGCTCCGGCCTCCGCTCCAGCCTCCGCTCCGGCCTCGGCTCCGCCGGCTCCTCCGGCTCCTGCGGCTGGAGGCGATTCCTCCCCACCCCCCCCCAGCCCTTGCCTGGTCGCCATGGCAACTCCAGCTGAAATTACATTAAAAAGGAATGAAATCAGGGCTCTTGGGGGAGGGGAGCTGGGCGCCGGGGGGCAGACGAGGCCCTGCAGGGTCCAGGGCCGGGGAAGGGGGGACCCCCCTCGCCCCCCCTGGGGACCCGGAGCAGCGCTAAGAAGAGCGGGGGGGCCACACACACACCGCTATTAAAAATAATCACTTCTGCTTTATTTGGAACTTGTTACTCTGCGCGGGTGACAGGGTATAAATACATTCTCCGATGGGCGCGTCTCAGCCCGCGTCCTGCTCCTCCCGAGCAGCCGCGCGCGTCGCGCAGGGATCCGGGGGCGGCAGGATCCATCCGGAGCGCCCGGATGGACATGGGCATCCGCCCGCCGGGCGCGGGATGCGGCCCCTCCGCGCGCCCCGCTCCGGGAGCAGGGCCTTGGGACGGGAGGCCAAGGGCGGGATGCGGCCGCGGCGGCTCCAGCGGGACGGGCGCTCCTGCCCGGCCGCCTCGGGCGGCTCCTGCGCCGGAGGAGGGAGAATATCAAAAGTACAAAAGAGCGGGGCCCGGCGGCGCGGGGCCGTGCGGGGCCGCAGCGCCGCGCACACACGCTGGGGGGGTGGGGGGGTCTAACTGCCGTTTTATTTTATATCAAGAACACTTGGTTTAAAATCTTTACAAAGGACAAAACGCGGCGACTCCGTTAGTGTGTAAAGAACTAAAAGATCTGCTTAAAAAACGTCTCTGCAAAGAGAAACGACTGACACAAAAGAGATTCTCTGCGGCGCAAAGAGGCGCAGAGGTGCCGGGGCCGGCTCGCGGCGCCAGGGCTCCCAGTGGTCCCAGCCCTGCGCCCGGCCCCGGGCACCTGCCCGGCACCTCCTGCCTTAGCACCGTGGCCCGGAGCGCTGCTCGACACAGTGAAGGAGCCTTTTCCGTGGCGCCTGCCCGCCCGGAGCGGTGCCTGGGGTGCTGCGTGTCCCTGCGGCGCCGGGGCTGCCGTGTGTCCGGAGCCGCGGTCCTGGGGCGGGCGGCGGGGCTGCGTCCGCCCTCCCGCCGCCCGCCGGGGTCCCTCGGAGAGTCCCCGCGCGTCTCCAAAGGGAGAATCCAATGCAAGGAGGAGGCGGGTCGGGGGGAGCGGCGCCGCGGCGCTCCGTGTGCCCGGGGGCTCCCGGTGCCGGCTGCGTGCGTGCGGGTGTGCGCGAGCGTGCGGGTGCGTGCGAGCGTGCGCGCGCGGGCGGCTATACCCTGGTGGTGGAGTGTGAGTGCGGGAGCCCCGCGCTGTTGAAGCCGGCGGCGAAGGTGTTGTAGGGGTGCAGGGTCTGCAGCCCCACCAGCGAGTTGGGGATCATGGTGATGGTGTTGGGCGTCATGAGCGGGATGTCGTCGGGCGAGCGGCGCAGCGTGAGCGTGTAGTCGGGCAGGGCGGCGAGGCGCAGCGCGTCGTGCGGCGGCACCGCCTCGCACTCGTGGTGCGCCTGGCTCGCCTGCAGCGAGGGCACCTCCTCGTCGGGCGTGTGGGCCATGTCGTTGGGGGCGCTGCGCTGCGGGCTGGGCTGCCGCTGCGTGTCCTGCCGGCGCTTGTCCTTGCGGTAGTAGAGCGCGGCGAAGGCCAGCACGTTGAGGAAGAGCAGGGAGGCGCCCACGGCGATGGTGACGCTCAGCTCGGTGGAGTAGTCGCGCGGGTTCTCCAGCAGCGTGCCCGCCTCCTGCTCCGGGCTCCACTTCTCCTTGCCGTTCTCGCTGTTGTAGGCGGGCGAGATGGCGGGGCGCTTGGTGGTCCAGATCTTGCCGTTGGGCCGGCGGGTGATGTGCGAGTTCTGCGTGGTGTCCGGCGGCGGCACTTTGGTGGTGGTGGAGGTGTAGTGGAACATGTCGTGCAGGTTGTACAGGTGGGGCACCAGGTGCTTCCAGAAGGCCACCTTGGTGGCCCGGTAGTGATCGCGCACGCGCGGCTTCAGCCCAATGTGCAGGTACAGCTGGTCCCGGGGGTTGTACTTGGACCAGGCCACCTCCTCAAAGCGGTTGGCCTTGGTGTGGATGAACTTGGTGTCCTGGGGGACGGGCTTGTTGGGGTCCCTGCAAAACAACAGCACAACAGAACCTTAGAAAGCCAAGAGACAAACGCTGGTAGGAGACACGAGGCCACCCAAGCGCCCGGCACAGCAGCTGCTCACAAGTGCAATGAGGTGCGAGATGGGAGCCTGAGGAACGCAGTCCTCATATTGCCAAACTCTCAGCTCAGCAGCTTCTTGCTGAAGACCCAACCCAAGCAAGGACAAAGCTCAGGGGGGTTTGGGGTCCCACCAAGACCCCTCCCACCCCCTTGGCAGAGCTCGTTGCTCAGGGGGGAACTGCAACGGGTGCAGCTCTCCAAGCGCAGCACCAGCCCCCCAGCCACCACAGCCCCGCTCACCCTGTCTTGGCGAAGTTGGTCCAGTAGGTCATCACCACGGCGCTGAGCATGACGTCGTTCTTGGAGAAGTTGCAGGGAAAGAGGTCCGTGGGGCCGATCATGGGGATCCCGAACACGTAAGGCACCTCGTCCCCGTGGGCCGCGTCGGACCACGCAGGCTTCATCAGGCTCTGGCAGTGGTGGTAGAAGGCGTAGAAGTAGGTGGGGGAGCCGTAGCGGGCGTGCAGGTCGGCCGTCACCACCGACGGCTCCACCCACTGGTGGTCGGTGAAAAGGGCCACCAGGGTCTTGCGGCGCGTCTCGGGGTTGTCCCGGTCGGCCCAGTCCGTGTACATGAACTTGATGGTCTCCCGCAAGGTGTCCTTGCCCTCGGGGTAGCCGTACAGGTTGTCTACAAAGTTGGAGACCGAGTAGTCGAAGTCGCTGCCCGAGACGCCGTCCTCGGGGTCCACCACGCCCTCCACGAACTTCAGGCCCTCGCCCTGGTTGACGCCCAGCATAATGTCGTAATTGAGGAACTCGCCCTGCTCCATGAGGATCTCGGGGTCGTCTGGGATCACGTCGCCGTCAATGACGGGCCCGAAGGCCACGTGGTAGCGGGCCGGCTGGATGTCCTGCTCCACCAGCTCCTTGGCGCTCTTCTGCCGCAGGCAGTCCACCATGTCCACGGTGTCCAGCACGTTGCAGCCCACCTTGTCGGCCAGCATGCTCGTGTACTTCACGGGCTGGTAGTTGACCGCCCAGCTGGACAGCGCGGAGCCGCTCTGGATGATGGCCCTCTGGAAGAGACCTGCGGAGACAGGGAGCTCGCGGGGAGCTGGCGGCCGTGGGGCAGGGAGCCACCCGGGCGCCACCGCCGCACGCGGGACCTGGCGCACGGGAGCCGGGCCCAGATGTGCTCCATTGGAGGCCAGGGCTCGGGAAGACCCGTCCACGGCGGCAGCCTCCGCTCCGGGGCTGCGGGCAGGGGACAGCCGGGCGCGCACGGATGCGGATGCGCCACCGCTCCCACCACGGCCCCGACGGCTCCGCAGGCAGCAGCGGGAGGGTTAAAGCTCCCCCGGGGCCACTTAACCCTGCGTGTCCCAGCCCGCCGCTTTGCCAGGGGCCCCCCCGGCCCCCTCCGCGCCGCTTCCTGCCCAGCTGGGGCTGCTCGGTGCCAATCCGGGCCCCGCAGGAGCGCGCTGCCAGATGCACAAAGAGGGCCTTTCTGCCGCCGGGAACACAGAGGGAGTGGACTTGCGCCCTGGAAAGCGGGGCCACAAAGGCCCTGGCCCAGGCGCAGGAATGCGTGGCTGGGCTCCAGCCCCCGTCAATGGCGCTTGTGCTGGGAATACAAAGGGCTCCGAGGAAACGGAGCCTCCGGGGCGGTGAAAGGCGGGCCGGGCTCCGAGTGCACCCCGGGGTCTCTGCTCCCTGGCCTGCCCCGTCCTGCTCTGGCCGCATCCGAGGACGCGCTCCCGGCGAGGGCCCGTTCCAGGCGCCGCACGGGGCCGCCGGGGGCCCTGCCCGGTGCGGGGGCATCACCTGAGGCGGCCGCGGGACAGTGACGGTGCAGGGGACACGCACGTCCCTGCAGCGAGAGCGCCCCGAGCCCCTAGCCTAGAGCCACCCCGTCCACAGCCCCGCGTGCCCGCGCGCTGCCAAGCACCTGGCGCACAGCGCCGCGCACGCGGGGACAAGGCGCTCCCAAGCTCTGCTTGTCACCTCCCGGTGCCCTGGGAAGCAGTGTCCGGCCCGGCCGTGGGCTCGTGTGCCAAGCAGCCGGGAGGGAGGCCTTCCCCGAGCCCTGGTGCTCCCAGATGGCTGGGCCCAAAGGCGGCAGGGCCCCTTGCCGGAGCCACGGGCTCCCCGGCAGCGCCACGCCACCCCAGCCTCGGCGCCGGCCTCCCGCGGCGCCTGGCAGAACAGGCACAAATTAGCACTTTCGTTAATAGCTCTTGATCGCTCCGTGTTCCATTTCCATGGGGTGAATCGGCTCCCGCCTGGCGCAGGGGCTGCGTGGGGCTCCGCGCCGGCACGGGCGCTGCGGAGCGGGCGCAGGTTGCACCGGAGCCAGGGCTGTCACCTCAGGGGGCTTCACCCAGCGCCCTGCACCTGCAATCAGCGCGGCGTGAAAGCCTGGGGTGCCCGGGACACCCGGGATATGGGATGGGGTCCCCAGGATCACCCTGAGGATGCCTGGATGGGCTGGCACGGATCACGGCAAGACGGCACAGGGTTTGGGGTGGAAAATCTGGTGTCACCAGGAAGGTGGCAGCGCTGGGCAGCCTGGCACGAGGCCCCACGGTGAATTAAGGGTACGGGGGCTGCCGTGGCGCTGTGGGTGCGGGCAGCCAAGGCTGGGCTGGCGGCTGCCATCTGCGCAGGCCCAGCCTGCGGCCGCTTCCAAAGCAGCGTCACCATCTGGGTCGGAAAAACATTCTGGAGCTCTGGGTCTGCCCTGCCGGAACAGCCCCGGCCCAGAAAGGAGCCGGGAGCCCCTTCTGAGGCCTTCCTGTCCCCGGGACGCCGCTGGGAAGGAGATAAGCACTGGGAAGCATTGGAGGGGGATGTGGCAATCCCCCTGCCCCGGGAATGCCAGCGCTGCCGAGGGTGGCGGGGCAGCCCCAGTGCGGACGCAGAGGGAGGCTCTGCTGCAGGGCTGCAAGACGTTACTGCAGAGCTGCAATACGCTCGCGTGGCTCCTCGTTCCGGCGTGCTTGAGCTTGTGACAGCCTAACGCCTGCCAATGCTCGTGCAAGTCGCACCGAGACAATGGGAGAACATCCCCCAGAGCTTCCAGCTAGGAAGACACACAGGATGATGCAGGAACACGGACTGCACACAACTGTCCTGATGGCTTCAGCTTCCCCTTCCCTGTTTCCAGCCACCTCCACATGTGGGCTGCTCGTAGCGCCCCAGCACAGGAGGCCCCGGAGCTCCCCTGCTTGCTCTGCTTAACGGCTCCTCGCAGAGGTGACACTGTCACACAAACAACACGACCACAAGCCCTGCAAAGCCCCGTGCGCTGCAGCCATCCCCACGCCCTGCGGATCCCGTGGGATCGGAGCTGCCCCTGTGCCCAGCGGGCCGGGGCAGCCTGTTTGGACAGGGAGAGGCTGCGGGCAGCTGTGCCAGCCGTGCACCTGCAAGGCTGAGTGCACAGGCACAAACAGCGCGCGGGGCGCCCTGTCCCGGGAGAGGCTGTCACCTGGGAATGGTGACAGCGCTGCTGCCCGGAGCGCGGCATCGAGGGCCACGCTCCCACCCGTGCGCACAGGGGCTGCGCGCGGCGCCTGCCCCGCAGCACCGCGGCGCCTTCGGAGGCTGCCTGCGGGGCAGAGCATCGTGCCAAGTCACCTGTGCCAAGTCACCTCCAACGGCAGCTGCACTGAGCTGCGAGAAGGCAAACTCCAGACAGCTGCTTTGGGATTGCTTCCGAATTTCCGGCGAGCTGAGGGTTTCTAGGATGCTCACGCCCGGTTCGGGATTAGCGGAGCGCTGCAGCTTTGCTCTCCACTATCAGCACGTGCTCGGAAGCTCTCCGCATGCGGAGCAGCCGGCGGCAGCCCGGTGCTGGACACAGGGTGCAGAGGCTGCTCCATCTGAAGCCAACGCCGAGCGGATGCGGTGCCGGCACAGCGGCCCGGCCACAGCTCTGAGCTTCTGCAATTCCAGGAGGGCAGCCCGAGCGGGAAGGGCGAGCGCCTTGGGGCGGCAGCCCGGCCTGCGTCAGCCTCCTCCGACGTGCCCTGCGCCCTGTGACGCTCCCTCTATCCCCGCATTGTTCCGTGGCCGCCTGGCAGGGCTGGAGCGCTTCCCGGCGCGTCACTCCGCTTGCGCCTGCCCGGCTTCCCGGGACACAGGCCTTTGTGCCCACGGCTCCCACGAGCCCTTGGCTCTCCCGCTGCCCGCGCCACGTGTGGGGATGCGGCGCTAGAAGGGGCGACTGCGGGAAAACTCGTCACCCCTGGGCACCAAGGCTTCCTGTCACCCTGCTCACCCACATCCCACGCTGAGCGCACAGCCCAGCCTTTGCCCCTGCTATTTCCTCCAAGAAGTTTATCCAGACCTGTACTGGTTAACAATCTTGTTTTTCTTTTTCTTTTTTCCTTTTTTTTTTTTTTCCCTTTTTCCATGTAAATTTATTCACAGGTGGTTTATGTGCATTTGCACTTCTGCCAACACAATCTTTTAGCATAAATAATTCCTTTCTCTATCTAGAGTAAACACGCCGCTATACTCACAGGTATCGCATCGCCCTCGCCGCACTTCGCTAGCCAAGATGCTCCCGGCTCTCCCAGGCCCCTCTCCTCCGGCGGGATCCCATTCCCTCCCTGCCGGTGCCCGGAGCAGCCTGGCCCTGCACCTACCTTCCGAGTGGTGCGAGAGGGTGAGGAGGCTGACGCAGGAGGCGCCGATGCCGGAGCCGAAGACGGTGATGCGCAGCGGGTCGCCGCCGAAGAAGGCGATGTTCTCGCTGACCCAGCGCAGCGCCTGGATCTGGTCCAGCAGCCCATAGTTGCCCTTGGCCGCCTGGTCGCCTGTACTCAGGAAGCCTGTGGGCCGAGCAGAGGCCGGTTAGGGTCGGATGTGGCTCCATCTCCCACCATCCTCCCCAAGCTGCTATGGACAGGGTCCTCCCCCACCGTGAATCCCTGCTGGGATCTGGGAGCTCTGTGGCTTAGCGGGGACACCTAAGGGACACCCAATTCCTTGCTCCAGGGACCCTTTCCACTTTTGGGGGGTGTTTGTCCAGGCAGCGCCCCAGCAGGATGGGCACCTTGTGCGGGCAACGGCTGCAGGCATCTCACGGGTGCTCCAGGGAGCAGAGCACCGGGTGCTCCAGGGAGCGGGTGCTGGGTGCACACAGAGCACCCTGCGCGGCCCAGACGAGGCTCCATATACGCAGGGAGATGGGCTGGGCCGAGAGCAGCCAGGAGCAAAACCTTGGAGCGGGCAGGATTTACTGCGAGCCGCTCCAAGCAGCAGCAGCAACGCCCTAGATAAGCTATCAACGCTCCACTTGCCTTGACTCAAAGCAGGAAGCCAGGGCCAGGGAAGGGAGGGGAGACCCACAGCAGCAGTGCGGGCGGGGGGCAGCGTGACGGGCGGCGCGGGCACCAGGGCTGCCGCGGGCCTCGACGCTGCAGCAGAGGGTGATGCCACCGTTTGTGTCTTGCTTGGTCCGGCAACATGTGCCCCTAAGCTTGTGCCTATCAATCTTTAAGGTCTAAGCTCAAGGCTACTTGAAGAAACGTCTGGTTTTGCTGGGAAGGCTATTTCCTACCAGCCCATGCCAGTCTTGGCCAAGCTGTGAGCCCCACAGTGCCTTCCCCAGCGGCAGTGGGCACGCCGGCTTGCAGAGGGACGGGATGGGTGCCTGGAAAGAGCCCTGCTTTGGGAGCAGACCTTCCCAGGGCAGCCGAAACGCTGCCCTTTCCCCCGGCTGCCGAGGGAGGCAGCGGCCAAGGGCACCGGGGCTCTGGGCAACTCCCACGTGGCGACAGCCCCAGTGGGGATTTTCGGCAGGGAGGGGACGTGTTCTCCAGACCAGCCCCGGCTCAGGGCCAGGCTCCTCTTGGTGCCCGCGTCCCAGCCCGCTGTGGCCGAGAGGACAGAGCAGAGGAGGGAAGCAACAGCTTCCAGCACAGCTGCCAGCATTGCAGGGCTGCAGCCCTGGAGCGAGATGAGGGCAGCACCACGTAGGCCTGGGGTTGCATGGAGGACGTCCCCGGGGACGCCCTCTCTGCACATGGAGCAGGGGAGCAGGGAGCTGTGGGCGCGGGCTGCACGGGGACACCTCTCTGCATCGCGTGGCAGCAGCTGGGGACGAGCAGACGGCGCGTGCAGGGACAGCGGCTCCGGGACCCGCAGCCAGGCACGTCCACACGCTTGTCCAGCAGGGCCCGGCCGGCGCCGTGGCCGCAGAGCCGGCGCCCTGGGGAATCCTGCCCTGGCATCGTGGCAATGGGGCTGCTGCGGCGCCTGGCCAAGGCGTCCGGCCGCAGACAGCGCTGCGGGAAGCGCCGGTGTCCCCGGGGAGCGCCCATCGCCCGGCCCGGGCAGCACAGCCCCCCCGGCGCAGCCGGGCAGCGGCCGCTGGCAGCTCGCCCCGCCGAGCCCTCTCGGGAGGAGATGTGGGTTAATACATTTATTATTTATTTAACCACAGACCAATATTTGCTTTCGGCCGAGCCGGGCTGTGCAAATGAGCCAGCGTGGCCTGTGCCAGGAGCCGGGTAGTGTGGCGAGGAGTGGCCACGTGGCACCCCGGGCTCTGCCGCGCGGCCCCGCTCTGCCCCAGCCGCCCCATCCCGGCTGGCTCAGCACCAGGCTGGGCAGCTCCGGAGCCCTCGTCCCGCGGCCCCCGCGCCGCGCCGTACCGAGCACTCCCACGCGGTAGTTGAGGGTGATGACGATGACGTTGCCGTAGCTGGCCAGGATGCTGCCGTCGATCATGTTGCCCGTGCCCTCCATGTAGGAGCCGCCGTGGATATAGACCATGACGGGCTTGGCGCCGCTGTCCCGGATGTCTGCAAGGAGAGCGGGTTACACACGGGAGCCACCGGCGGCCGTGGTGCCCTGCCCCACAGGCAGACCACAGACACGGGCAATGCCAGCTGCCAGGAGCGCGGAGGGGCACCCAAATCCAGCCCTCCTGCCGCAGCTCTGCGCTGCTCCCGGTCGCAGGGAGCTGCCCCGGGGCTTGGCGTGGGCAGGGAAGCGGCCCCGCGGGCCCTCGGCAGTCAGCCCCGCATCCCAACTCCAGCTGGAGCCAAGTGCCCCGCTCCGGGAGTCCTGGAAACTGGCATTGCAGAGGGGCAGGGCGGGGAGGGGTGTGCAGGACCTGGGAGGCGGGGGGGACGCTCCCCAATGCTGGGATCCCCCCTCCCGGCCCCTTGCGCTTCCCTGGGGAGGCAGGAAGCTGCCGGCTGCCTGGCTGCCACCCCTGGCACCCCGGTGCCCATACACAGACATGGTGATGAGAGGCAGACAGTGCGTGCGCGTGAGCATGGCAGGGCGAGGCGGGCGCGGGCCGCGAGCGCCGCGGCCAGGACGGGGCCCCGGGAGCCCCGCGCAGGGCCAGGGCACGTCCTGCCGGTGCCGCCGCCTGCGGCACCCAGGGAGCGCGGCCGGGCCGCGGGCAGGACGGAGAGGGCGCCGGGCACACTGGGCGCCCCGCGACACCGCCCGCTGCCCGCGGGGCCGCCACGCGCAGCCTCCCCACATCCCCGTGCCCCTGCCGCGCTCCCCAGCCCCGCGGGTGCCGCCGTGCTCGCCAGGCTCCCGCCGCTCTTCTCACACCGGAATTTCCCTCCATGAAACCGAGGGGACGCAGAGAGCTATGCCAGGACCTTGGCCTCTGGCAGGGGCACCCAGGCCCGCGGCAGCGGTGCAGCCCGGCCCATGGGTGCACGTCCTCTCCTCCCGGCCGCACGTGAGCTCCCGAACGCGGCAGGACTCCCGAATCTGCACAGCAGCCACAGGGGAACCAACAGCTCCTGGGATGGGACGTGCAGGACACTGTACAGTGTGGGGACCTCACAGGCTCAAAACGGATCAACTTCGGTTCATGTGCCAGGAAAGGAGATTCTGGAGTGCGGGTTCCTGGGTGGGTTGGACGCATCCCCGAGCGCGCTCAGCGACTGCCTGGACCCCTGCGCCATGCGCCCGGACGTGCCGGGCTGTCCCAGGACACCCCAAAGCGGGAGGCGTCACCGTCCCCGGCCCGCGCGGTGCTGCCGTCGCCTCCTGCCTCCTTTCCAGAGCCGCCACCGACGGAGCGAGCGTAGCCCCGTGGGGCAGGACGCGCCGCGGGCCCCAGCTCAGTGCCAGCACTGGGACATCCTGGCACAGTGGCCAGGAGCGGCGGTGACGCGGAGCGCGCGCCGACCCAGCGGCCACGGAGAAGCCGGCAAGACCCGGAGCACGGCGGGAGGGAAGGTGGCTGCCTCCGCACAGCCCCGCGCACACGGATGAGGCTGGAGGTGGAATGTGATGTGGCTCGAGGTGAAATGGGCCCCGGTGTCCTGCTCCCAAGCCGCCATGCTTCCTGCGAGCCCTGGAGCACCCCGAGACCCCCAAAGCTTCCCCGAAAAGGAGGGGAAGGGCCCGGGCGGCCCTGCACAGCCGGCCCCCCTGCCCCCCGGCGCGGCGCGGGCGCACACACACACACGGGGCTCCCTGGCAATGGCAGCGGGTGGCGGGCAACGCAGGCGCTGTGCGTGTCATGCAGTGGCAGCCTCGAGCACACAAATACCTTCGTCTTCATCCCCGTCATTATCCGCTAAGTCCTCGCCCTGTTTCTTAGCGCTGGCTCCTAGGGACCAAACACGAGGAGACAGAACAAAAAAAAAGGAAAAAAACAAAAACAAAAAAAAGGGAAAAAAAAACAAAAAACAAAAGAGAATTCAAAAATAGCATGACAGCAGAGACGGTGGGGCCGGGCCGGCGCCCCACAGCGCTGCTGGCTACTCACACTGCACCTCTCCCAGAGCCTGCGCCCCTTCCCGCTCCTCCCGCAGCAGCCGGAGGAGGAGGGCGGCCGGGGGCTGCACGGAGTGCGCGGACACGATCCCGCTGCCGAGCCCGCCGCGACGGCACGGGATGGGACGGGACGGGACGGACAGCCTTGCTGCGTCCCGACGGGCACGGAGCCCGAGGCGCACGCCGGGGAGTTGGCATCTCTCGTGCCGGGGCTGCCCGGCCCGCGCGGCTGCAGCTTCCCCTCTCCCTCCTGCACCGGCTGCCTGGGAAGCGCCAGTGCAGCGGGAACTGGACACCCCAGCCGGGGAGCACGGCGAGGAGCTGGGCGCCGAGGCCCCTTCCTGCAGTGCCCAGAGGGCTTCCCTACGGCACCAGCCAAGCAGCGGCACCGCAGCTCGTGCCAGCTCAGCCCCGCGCCTCGGAAACGGCAGAGGGGCTCTGCCCTGTTCCAATGAGTGACAGGGACGGAGCGGGGAGCGGGAGGGGACACTGGCCGCCCCATGCTGCCTGGGGACAGCAGCGTGTCCCGCTGAGCAGCCCCTGAGCAGGATGCGACACAGGGGCAGGATGGCACCGCAGATACCCCCGGGTCAGTGCCCTGCAGGGTGGCCTGGGGCCACCAGAGGAGCCGGCACCACCGGTGTGGAAACCCGGCAGGTGGCAAGAGCTGGAAGCGGGGGATCCACACTAGCAGTCTCGTCATGTGCCAAAGGCCGCTGCGAAATGGTGGCGTGGCGGAGAAAGCCCCTCTCGGCCGCGCAGAGGAGAAGCAGCTACGGAGCCGCGGGAGGCACACGGCGAGCAGATAAAATGAAAACCCTGCTGGCAGCAAGGGCAGAAAAGCAGGGGAACGAAGGGATGTCCCGGGGAGCTGTTTAGCAACAGGCCAGACCAGCTGGTCAGGAAAGAGGATGGGCAGAGCTGCTCCGGTCTTGGAGTCATCCTGACATTGTGCGATCCTCCGAGATCCTGCCTGACCCCGCTCCAGCCTCACCTTCCTCTTCGCAGCCCCGGCTCTCCCTCAGTTCCCAATCCCTCATTCTGCTGTTTTCCACCCAAATCACTCCACGTTCTGACCCTGACGCTGCAGCCTCCCTGCCCCACGTGGGCCAGACTCTGTCATCCAAGCTGCTCCCCAGCCCACCCACATCTCCATGTTTCCGTGTCCCTGTGTCTCCGTGTTTCCATGTCTCCGTGTATCCAAGCTCAAAGGCAACTGTCCAGCACAGCAGACACCACAGCCAACCTCCTTATCTTCCCCAAGGTTGCTGCGAGCCCTGAGAGCCCTTAAACGACGATGTGCCCGTGCAGCATCTGCAAACGGGCGCCGTGCTCCTTGTGCAGAGGGGCTTTCTCTAATGCGGGCCGCAGGGGGCTGCGCCCTGGGGCTGGGGCACGACGCCAGAGCGGCCTTTGCGCATCCGAGAGGAAAAAAAGCCCGGGGGCTGCAGCCTGGCTCCTGGCGGAGGACAAATGCATCCGTGCGCAGGCTGGAAATGCACAACAGCAAACGAACCGGGGCCAAGGAGCGGCTGAGACGGGGGTGGCCGAGCTGAGCAAGGGCTCAGCGGGCCAGGTGACGCTGAGCGGGCAGGAAGGCGGTCGCGGAGGCTGCGGACGGTCACCCTGCGAGCTCGGCCTGGGCCGGTGGCCGGCGCTTTGCAGGTCACACTGCACTTCACATTCCTGCAGGGACAGGACAGGAGCTGCTCATGGGGCTGCTGGACCTGGGCTGCACCACAAGCAGAAGTTTTGTGAAGGTGACCAAGGACAAGGGGACTTGGGGCAGGTTTCCGGGTCTTCAGGCAGCCACACGAACAGGAAGAAGTGGTGCAAGACTCATGAAATAACCCGTAAGGGGTGGATGAGCATGGAAAGAACTTCTCAGGGATGGGGTTGCCAGGAGTCAGCACAGCACAGGGACTGCTCACAGCAGCTCTTTGCTCTTCCTGCGCATTCCCCTCTGGAGGCATTTCAAGCTGTGACTCCAGGGAAAGACATGGGAGGGCCCCAGGATACTCCAGGTGCTGCTTCACATGCAGAAGCTCCACTTGGAAGCCAGTCAGGGCCTTTCCCCTCTCAGCGCTCGGCACGAGGCTGCCCCAGGAGCCTCCAAGGCCACACTATCCGAGGACGGTTCATCATCCGCCCGGGACCACTGTAATCACTGCCCTCGGGCAGGTCTCCATGCAAGGAGCAGCACTGGAGGGCGCTTCCCCGGCGGCAGAGAACAGCCAGGCCGGGCTGAGCGCTCACCGCTTCATTAGCGGGTTTCTCGGCTCCTCCGCCTGCCCTCGTCCTCCTCTGCCTTTGCGCGGCCTCCGTCCGCTCGCCTTCGCTGGCTGCCTCGCGCAGCGGGTCCGACGCTCCGGCCCTGTGCAGCCGCGCGGGCGCCGCTCCAGCCTTGACGCCAAGACGCCCCGCAAAGGGCCCGCGGGCACCGCGGCTGCAGGGAGAGCGGCGCCCACCTCCCGTGCCCAGCTCCGCAGCACCCGCCCGCTGCCGCCCCCGGCTCCGCAGGGAATCTGCAGCTCAGGCCCCCTGGCACCTGCCTTGCCTTTTGCTCCGCTCTCTTCCCGTGCCCGTTGCTCCAGTATCCAGGGCTACCCGCACTGGGAGACCCCTCTCTGCACCGGTGAAGGGTGATGCACAGACCCCAACAGCACCGACCCTCATGGTCAGGACAGGGAGGACAAGTATTCAGGTCTAAGTTTGTTCATTCACAGGTGGAAAACGACTTGGGGCTTTGATTCTCCTCATCTGCCAAGAACTCACTCCACTAACCTGGTGCAAATGCCTATTAAGTGTCGAATTCAAAGCTGACTGTGAAGTGCCACAGCCCAGGCTGGCATGAAGGATGCATATGCTCTTATCTCAAATCTCTGAGAAGCAGGATTAAGCTCAAGCTGAGTTAAAAAAAAAAAAAAAAAAAAACACACACAAACAAAATCACTTTCCTTGAAACAGAAGCATCCACACCGGATTTATGCTATCATAAGTAAACCATTCCAGCAGTGCCAACGCCAGTGTAAACAGAGATAAAGAAGGGCGAGGATCCTATTTCCTTGGAACCCTTTAGCTTAGCACCACGTGGATTAAAGAGCGGACTCTGAGCCGAGATTCCTGAGATCCACATCAACTCCGCGAGGCAGAGCCGGGGGCGTCCCTGCCGGAGCTCCCACCTCCGCACAGTGGGTGCCGGTAGCCGGGGCCATGGGCTCTGCCCTCTCACAAGTGTCACGGGCCAGGGCTGCCCCCACAGAGCAGCCCCAGATCTGCTGGGGGGCAGGAGCTGTCGCTCAGCCAGGGAAGCCCCCTGAGCTGTTGGTAAGGGGGGCAAGCAGGAGGGCACGGAGAGGCAGCAGCTCCCTTGGTTTTGCCAGCTAGGAAAGGAGCAGACACAGGGGCCCCCCGGTGCTCTTTGAAGACGAGCCCAGCAGCCTCTCCTCAGCGCAGCGTGGGTGCAATAGTCCCGCGTGGGCTCGAAGTCGAGCGGCCTCCCTGAGTGGGCTCCTCAAAACCACCAGGTCCCCTCCTGCTGACCCTGCCAGCTTGGACACCTACCCCACCTTCGAAAATCGTGCCCTGGAGAGACAGCACGGCGCTTCCCACCTGCCGACGGGGCTCTGCAGAGGAGCAGACACTAAAGATCTCCGAGGAAGAGACCCTGGGAACAGGAGTTGCTGCAAACCAAAGGCTAGGAGGTGCCTGCAGAGCTCAGCGCAGAATTCATGGCAAGCACTTGGCCAGCAGTGAGAGAGCCTGGGCTGTCCCTGCAGGAAGGATGGTAGGAGGACTTCCAGCGAGGAGGAAGCACCAACATCCTGCTGGGACACAGGAGGTGCTCCCAGAAGCTGCTTCCTTAGGGATCAGCAGGGCAGAAGCCGCGAGGCTGCTCCCGAGCACAGGAGCCTGAGCCGCCCTTGCACAGAAATGCCCTGCACAGCCACAGCCACGCGGCAGGAGGGTGCAGACCTCACCAGGACAAACCGGGCAGGCCCACACGCCACCCTCCAAGTGGGACACCCAAGTGTCCACACGCCACCCTCCAAGAAGCAGCACCCAACTCCTTAGGCCCCAGCGCAGGGCAAGCACCATGGGGGCCGAGGGCAGGGGGAAGCATCCTAGGAGGTGTCGGAGCAAAGCACAAGCTCGAGGTGTCTGCAACGCAAAGGGCAGAGCTGAGCTGTGCACAGATCCTGCAGCACGTACAAGCACATGCTTCCCCACTGAGCAGCTTTATTTTCACTAAAAGTTGAGCAGCAGCTGAGCCGAATCGCCGTCAGGTCCTCCTGCACGGTGCAGGGTTAATTATTCTCAAAGCACAATTGCCCTGGCTTATTCCAGAAGGGAGCTGTCTGCGCCCATGCAGGAAACACGGAATCCGCCTGATAATTCCTCGGTGCTTTGGCTGCTATGAAATCAACTGAGTTTATGGCGGAGTAATCATAAAAACTACCATGCGCTGGGAGCTGAAGCATTTCAAACTACCAAAAATACTGCACAGTTGCCCGCGAGCTTCCAATGCTTCTATCTGAAATGGTCTTAGAAATAATAATCAGGAATCTTCCCAAACAAATCAGCGGATAAACGCGGAGCAGAGCCGGGCTGCGGGGGGTTACCCTGAGCCCAGGAAGCGCCAGGCCGGGCACGGGGAAGCCTCAGCGCCTCCTCACCAGTTATTCAATTAATCCAAGTGAGCGGGCGCAGAAGAGTGGCCGGAGCCGTGGGGCAGCGCCAGCGGCCGGGTGCTCCCCGCGCGCTCGCCCAGCTGCTCGGAGCGCTCGCGTGTGGATGCGGGCACTGAGCATCCTGGCACAGCGTGGGGACATCCCCCACATGGGGACACACGGACACGTCCCACCCGGGCCTGCCGGGCTGCAAAGCACCCGCTGCTTCCCCGTGTCTCGCGGCATCGCCCTTGGGCAGCCTGAATCCCGGCGCTCGTGCCCGTGCCCGGCGGGGGCCGCGCAGCCCCGGCAGAGGAAGCGCTTTGAAGTGGCTCCGCGGCGCTGGCACGGCCGGCTCCGGAGGCGGCGTGCCGAGACTCCCTAATGCGCCGGCCCTTTCAGGGGCAGCCTTGGCACTCGGAGAGATGGCGTGTGAATAGCCAGGACAGCGACAGGAAAAGCAAAGCAAAGAAACCAAACAACAGAACGCAGGGGGAAAAGGGGGGGAAAAATAAAAAACAACAAAAAAACATCGCTGGAAGGAAAGAGCTCCCCAAACCTTGGAGCCCGGTTGTGCCAGGCCCCCAAACCGCAGGGGTGCAGAGGGGAACCAGTGTGGGTGACACGGCCCCCTGCAGCAACGCAGATGGTGGCAGCCAGCGAGGGGCACCCGGCAGCCCCCGGACACCCCGTTCCTGCACTGAGCCCTTCGTTGCTTCGGGATGCAAAAAGCAGCCGTGCTCGGAGCCTGCCGGCAGCCGCCCTGCACGGGGGCGGACGGAGGCCACGGCGGACGCGAGCGGCCCGGCTGGCACCGGGGCTGGAGCGGAGGGCAGGGCAGGAGGAGCCCCGCGCCACAGGGAGGCAAGACAGAGCCGCGGCTGCGCTGGATGCGCTCGGCCGGCCCCGCGGAGCCTGCGGCAGGGACCACGGCACTTGTAGGGCGGCCCCCGGACGCGGCGATGAAGGGGGCAGCGGTGGCACGGCCAGGCAAGACCCCCGTGGTGACGGAGGAACCTGGGATGCTGAACGACGGGGATGCAGTGCTGGGGAAGAGGTCCCAAGGGCAATGGGGGATGCCAGCCCGGGAGGGCCCTCACACGCGTGTGCCACCCTGCGCGGGCCGCTGTGTCCTCGAGGAAAGGGGAGGGAGCCTTTCCTGGGCGGAAGAGCCCACGGCCCTAAGGGAAGGGGGCACCGAAGCGGCCCAAGGCTGCGCCACGGCCAGCAGCTGCCGGCGGCAGGACGAAGGCAGCGGCGCCGGCTCTGGAAGCAGCTGTCCTGAAAGGCCGCGGCCGACACAAGTGCCCTGCTCTGCCGGTGCCCGCTCCCGGAGCATCCGCAGGGTTCCTGGGAGCGGGTGGCAGGGCGGGAGAGGCGCCGGAGGAGCCCGGCGCGGGGCGGCGCGCGCCGCACGGCCCCCTCGCGCTCCCTCTCCCTCTCTCTCTCTTTCCTCTCTGTGCCTCTCTGCCGGTCGGCTTGCTACATACCTCCTTTCCTACATATTTTCTTGTTGGGCTTTCGGGTGCATTCCTTGGAAATCCGTTTTACTGTAAAATGAATAAAAGACTACAAAATAACAGGAGGCTCCAGTGGCCGGAGTGGGCATGCAATCACAACCACGCTGCCGCCCTCCCGCCACCCCCGGGGCCGCGGGACGCGGGGAGGGAGCTCTGCCGTGGGAGGAAAACTCCGGGCCAGCTGCGCGGCGATGGAAGGAAGGAAGGAACGAAGGAAAGAAGGAAGGAAGGGACGCAGAGCGGGCAGGCCTCAGGAAAGGCTGAGGCCGCAAGCCGGCTCTGCGCGCGGCGGGCACCGCTCGGGGTCTCTTCCATCGCGGGCTCGGCCGCCGCGGCTCCCGCTGTGGTGAGGCAGGCTGCGGCCGGCGCTGCCTCCTCTGCCTCTCTACTTACAGTTGGGGCGGAATCCGCTGGAAAGGAAAAGGTTAGAGAGGAGGCACCGGGCACTGCCCAGCCTCGCCACAGCGGGGCCGCGGCCCCGCGCTCCCGGCCGTGCCGGCGGCCTCGGGCCTCAAAAGACGCCGGTGCCGCGGGGAGCGCCCGGCCGCGGCGGCCCGGGGGCAGCGGCAGAGTGTTCCTCCCAGGCGCAGCCCGCACCCACCACTAGCGCATGGACCTGAGGGTGGGCAGGGAGGGGAGGAAGGACAGAAACCCGAACCAACTCAAGACGGAACCTGGCACTCGGCGCCTGGGGAGCACAAACCAGCTCGTCGCTCTGTGGATCTGCGGTCAGAGAGTCTGATTGAGATTTAGCAACGCGAGAGAGGAACCGGTGACAATGCCATGGAGGTGGAGGGGTGGGAGGCGTGGAGGGGCGGGAGCACCGACACACAGATGGCAGCTGAGGGCAGCGGGCGAGCTGGGTGGCCAGAGGAAGCTTTCCACAAACAGAGAGCATGCTGCAGGGGCCACAACCACATGCGGCAAACACAACAGCCGGGTGAGACCGAGCGCTGCCGGCGAGGAGCGCGGCGGCCTCCCCGGCCCTCCCAGAGTGCACGTTCCTGCGGGCACCCCGGTGGGGACTCACCATCCTCCGTGGGGATGTAGATGTTGAGGTACAGACAGTCCTCGTTGGGGTCCTGGATGTACGTGGCCACGATATCCAGGTTGGAGGTAAACCAGATGGGCAGCATGATCTCGGGAACGGCGTTGTGGATGTTCTGGGGGCAGACCGGCGAGAAGTGCGTAGCGTTCCTGATGCCCGACCACGACGGCGGGGGCTCGGGGGGCATGAACCTCTTCTCCCCGACGGGGGGGGCGGCATAAGGCACCCCCAAGTACTGGTCCACGGGCCCCAGAATCTCGCTGGGCAGCGGCACACGCACCCCCCGTAGCTTCCCATAGTGAGTGTTGACGGTCGGAGAGTAGACCTGGCCCTCCATGCGCACGATGGCCGAGGCAAAGCTCAGGAGCCACAGGGCGAGACGCAGGTCCCAGCCGGCCGGCAGCTCAGGCACTTGCAGAACAGGGGGCAAGAGGGGCCTTCTCCAGAGTATCAGCCACATCGTCTGGGAGGAGCAGCACCAACATCCAGGCGTGAAGCTCCCGGCGCGAGGGCTCAGGGCATCCCCATCACAGCGCGCCTCCGATGTGTCCGCCAGGAAGAGCTGGATTGGCGGGGAGGGATGACCAGGAACCAGCAACGCGCGGCAGCTGCAGTCGGGTGGCCGGGGAGCACCGATGCGGAGGGGAGCGGGGCTGCTGCTCAGAGCCCCCGCGCTGCTGCCCGCTGCTGCCCGCCTGCGCGGGGCACAGCCCCTGCCGGGATGCTGCCACTGCGGAGAGAGGGAGGCGGTTACCGGCAGGCCCATGCTGGGAAGGGCCACAGGACCCTCGTGCTGCACGTGAAGATGTGGTAGCCCCGGGCAGGACATGCTCGACCCTCCCGTCCCCATCACCTGTCACCTCTGCCCCTTCCAGGGGTGACAGTGATTGCACATCCCGAGGGAGCAGCCCGGAGAGCCACAGCAAGCAGGACACGAAGGCCCGAGCTGTGCAGATCCTCCCTCGCGGGCAGCCACGTGGGGCCGAGGAGCGGAGACACCCACGTGCCGGGGCACAGGCTGCACGGCGGCAGCGCGAGGGGGAAGAGGCCCCGCACGCTGCGGGCGCTGGGACACAACTGCCCCTGGCGCAAGAGCCCAGCAAGGGCGCCCGGCCCGCGGCGGCTCCCCGTTGCACATTGTCTCGCTGCGACCTTGGGCAGGACTTGCCTCCATCTCCCCAAGGGGAGAGCCCGCACCGCGACGTGCCGAGACGAGCGCTGGCAATGCGCTGGGCACGTGCGGGCAGGCGGACCGCAGCGCCGCGCAGAGCCCCGCGGGCGCCCACCGCAGCGCCCAGGGCGGCCGTGCACGCGCTGCAGGAGGCCTCGCAGCGACCCGCAGGGCGCGGAGACGCTGCAGCAGCAGGACAGCCGTGGTGACCTGTCTGCCACCTCCAGCAGGGCCACCCACGGCGGGGAGCGCGAGCCGGCGCCGGCACCGCACAGCGCACGCTGCTGCCCTTGCTGCCGCTGGCACCTGCCACCTCTCCTTGCTCAGCCCCTGGCCGCCGTGCACCACATCGACGGTCCCACATTCGTCCCCCTGCACTCAGCGGGCGGCTTCTCCCCAGGGCACTGCAGGGCAAAGGCGCTGGGGTAGTGACAGAGCCGCAGGGAACCGCGTGTCAGCGCATGGAGCTCCCACACCGGCAGCCCCGGCGGATCCCGGCGCTCCGGCCGGGCCTCCCCGCGCCGCCTGCCGCATTCGGGCCTTATGTAAGCGGCTCCTTCCCTCCCTCCCCCTTGCCGGCGCCGCTGCCTCCCCGGGGGACGTGGGCGAGGGGAGGCGGTGGAGGCTGCGCTCGCGGGGAGGGACGGGAGGGAGGGATCCATGCGCGGGGAAGCGGATGGCGGCTCCTCACCTCGGCAGGCGGCTCCCGGGCCCTGGCGCCGCGCGGCCGCCTCGGAGGCCGCGGGTCCCGTCGCGGCCGCGCGCCCTCAGCCTGCGAGCGGCGCCTCCGCCTCGGCCCCGAGCATCCTTCCGTGCCCACCTGGTAAATCTCTCCGGAGCCGGGAGGGGAGCGGAGCTGCCTTGGAATTATTGGAGCACAAAATAAGGGCTGTGTGTGCGCAGGGAAGGCAGCGGCTCTATTCAAGGCTCAGCTGGGCAGGGACTCCACCGAATGGAGAACACCTCGTCCAACGAGGAAAATCCGCAGAGAGGAAAAAAAAAAAAAAAAATACACGAAGGGCGTCTCAAATCTGCACTGCACATGTGCAGGCAATTCGCTGCCGGTCATTAAGGAAATGGGCCCGTGCTGTGCCTGCCCTCCCGATATGCCCGGGGAACACAGCAGGCTCAGAAATCAGGCTCTGACAGGCATAATAAGAGACACTGAGCCCAGGCAAATCACGTTACTGCAGCCAGCCCAGCCCGGCTGGCGCGGCGGGGGATGCGGCCGCCTCTCCTGCCGCCGCGCAGGGGCGACGGTGGCTGGGGACGAGGAGGGTCCCCGCGGCGGCGGGGAGACACGATGCTGCCCCAGGCGGATCCGGGTGGGAAGGAGCCGGAGGCTGGAATGTCGCGATCCAGGTGGATCAGCCCCCTCGTGCTCCGGCTCGGAGCCTGGACACGCAGGCGCTCTGTCCCTTCCCCACGGCCCCAGCCCCTCCGTGTCCCCTCGCCCTTCTCCGGCCTCGGCCCGGCAGGAGGACAGCGGCACTCGCAGACGGGGCTGCAGAGAGAAGCAACGGTGACAACCCGCACAAGGGAGCCCGAAGCTGCCGTGTCCCCCCAAAACGGCTGCCAAAAGCTGCAAGACAAATGCACGAGCTGACGGAGCAGACCAAGGGACAGCAACGCAGCCGAGACTCCCCAATGCGCTAAGCGCCTCTCCGCTGGGCTGCTCAGCGCCCGTGCTGCCCTCGCCTGCACCGCTCTCCAAAGAGTCACCTAATGCCCCGGCAGCATCTCCCCTTCCCCAGCCAAAGCCCGAGCGGAGCCCGGCGGCACAGGGGCCGCTCCGGCGCGTCGCTGCCGCCTCCTGCGGCATCCCGAGCTGCCCGGGTGGCCTTGCGCATCCTCCGCCCTCCAAATGCCCGGTTGGCATCTCCCTTTGGAGAGCGTGTGCTAGGATAGACTCCAATTACCACTGTCACAGCTGATTTGCATGGCTGGAAGCGATGGACAGGTTTGACAGAGGCTGCAGCTCCCAGCAGGGCCGTTCCAGCCGTCGTTCCCACTTCCCTCTGCATCCTCCCAGCCCTGCCAGCCGAATCACCGGCCTCTTTCCCATTCAGGCTGTTCGGCAGGGCTGTGGCCACACATTTCCCAGCTCCGCAGCTCCAAAGGCTCCTTCGGCCGTGGGATTTGGGGGGTGGCTCCACCAGCGGGGCTGCACACATGACACGCTGCAAAATGAGGGCCCAGCTGAGCCCCAACTTGGCCTCCTCGGAACAGCTCTGGGGTTTGGCTTAATCCCCACCTGCGCCCTTGTGATAGTTTTCAAAATAAATAAAAATGGGGAATTCAAAGACAAAAACGTATGTTGAGGTAGAACTGAAGTTCCAAGCACACATCTCTAAGCTAAAAATATGTTACAAGATGTAAGATTTTCTCAAATGACAAGTGTCACAAGCCTAGGATGCAGAGGGGTGAGTGACATTTGGGCCAGGCCAAGGTGCCCGGACACGGAGATGCCAGGTCAGGGTGCCCAATAACCTGGTGCCACCTCGGCCACGCCGTGAGAGCCGTGAAACCCAAACCGCAGCGTTTTCCCCTTTGCAACCCCATGCTCAATCCCCTTGTTTTGCCTTTCCCTCCATCCGCCTGCATCCCTGCAGCTCGGAACGAAGGCACCCGGACAAGCCCAGCAAGACGTTTCCAAGCGAATCCTCCATTACGGGAGCAGAACCAGCGCAAAGCCTCGCTGTGGAATTCCCTGGATTTCAAACGCCTCATTTGGGATGATCACAAGAGCCCCGGATCGCATCTTAGCCTCGTTTCGCTGCTCTGGGCTTTCTGCTGTGACTTCACGTTAACATAACATTTAGTATGGGAATTTAGCCTTAATTTAATATTGACAGAGTGCCACGAGAAGCGGCGCTCGGGCCTCTTTGCGCAGGGCCGGCGCACGCCTCGCATCGCTGCCTCCGCACGCTCCCCTGCTCCTCCCGAGGGCTCCGAATAAAGCGGCGGAGGACGTGCCGGAGTACGCTGCACCCAGGGAAGTGCTTCCCGCACATCCCACAGGCGCTGGAAGCGCAATTTCCCCGCGGGTCTGGCCGCCTACGGGATCCCTCCCTGCTTTCCGCCTGCAGGAGCCGTGCCAAGCTCGGCCCCCGGCGAAGATGGCTGCAGCTCCGCGCCGGCGAGGAAGCGCGAGCGGGAAATGGAGCGGGTCGGGAAGCCGGGAAAGGCTTCGGAGCGGCCACGGCCCAAGCGGGAATGCCGCACGGAGCGCACCGAGGTCTCCGCGCATCCCGGATTGGATCCTCCGTATCCGCAAGCGAGGCGCTGCCGGTGCCGCCAGACTGTGCCCTCCGGAACGGCGCGACGCTCTCCATGGAAACGCGAGCGGCGGGAGCCGCGGAGGGCGGGATTGCCGGCGCCCGCGGAGCTGTCGCCGAGGCACCGCATTCCACGGAGAGGAGGTGTCCGGCTCCATCGGCCACGTGCCCAAGATCCCGGATTCCCGGCCAGCGCCTTCATCCCTGCACCTGGAATCTCATCCTACAGAGCAAAGGCGCTGGGGATGGGCTAGCAATGGTGCACAGAGGGTCTTTCCAGCCCCAGGCTTCCCTTGCAGGAGGCGGATCTTTCCCAGCGGGAACCTGGAAGCAATTCCCAGGAATTCAGACCCGTGGGGGTGTCCAGTAATGGATGATTCCCCAGCACTCTCGGATCGGGGGGTCCCGGGAGGTCGCCCTCGCCGCGGCTGCACTCAGCGTTTTCAGCAATGACCTGAACAGCAGAAGACATTTTACAAACCTGCACGTGACACCTGCGCTTCGGAGGCCATGAGCCGAGCTGGACGTGCTCCCGACAGAGCCAAGAAAGGGCCGGGAGATGCCGGCCAGGGCTGCAAGCCACTGGCAGCAAAAAATAATAATAAACCCCCCTAACTGCATTAACACTGATTAGGGAAGGATAGCGGCCCTGCTGCCAAAGGGGTCATAGGAGGTACAGAGGAGCAGGGACTGAGTGAGCTGCCGTGTGCTGGTCGCAGAAAAAGGCAAATTTACGGAGCACACAGGAGGAGGGCTCATATCGACCCACCAAGGAGTTACTGTGCTCTCCTTGTGGATTATCAGGACACAGGAGGGAATTATTTGGCTCTCTTCCTTGCTGCTTCATTCCTCCACGGATTTGGGCCAAAATTTTGAATCTTTGAATCTGAGAGGCCCTGGAGGAGAGCAGCAAGAGCAGCTGAAAGCCTGGGGAGCAGAGTGAGGATGAAGCGCCCAGGGCCTGGGACGAGCCACGGCGAGACGCGACACAGGACAAGTCTTGTGGCCTGTAAAGAGGACTGCAGAGAAGACCAGAGCGGCCCAACGTTGACGCTTGCACCATGCAGGACGCACAGGCACGTTAACAGCGCAGATGCAGGAAAACATCAGGAAAATGTCAAGCTTTGCCAGCAAAACCCAGGAGCAAATCACGC